CCTGCCTCCCTCGCGCCGCTGCCGGTCCCTAGAAAAAGGGGAGGTTGTGAAACGCCGCGACCCTGCTCCACGGGAGTCAGGGCCACGGTCTCGTTCGCGGGGCCCGCGCTGGGAGGGAACAGGCTCCGGAGACGCTGTCCGGGCGGTTCGCTTTCCGGGGCCTCCGTCTCGCCAGCCCAGCCCCCAGAACCCGCGGGCCGGGCGTCCCTCCCTGGAGGGCTGGTCGCGGGGGGCTGAGCTGTTTGACCTGGGGGGGGCAGCCTCCGGCGTCTAGATCTGCCCCCTCCGTCCGCTGTGGATGGATGAATGAACGGCTCAGGGCAGCGATTGTCCACCTTTTTCATCCCATGGCACATAAACTAATTGTTAAAATTCTGCGGCACACCAAAAAATATATTTTTTGCTGATCTGACCAAAAAGACATGGTTTCGATTCATTCACACCAGGCGGCTATTGTGTTGGCGGTTGTCATTTTTAAATTTGACAATCTAAGGGACCAGAGGTCAGCGCCCTGGCTAAACAGCCAGGCACTGCATGTTTTAGAAATTCTCACAGCACCGGCTGAAAGTCGCTGGCTTAGATTAGAGGGTATCTTCAGCTAGTGAGATCCAGACATAACCCAAGTGTAAACACATCTAAATACATTCGGGTCAGTGTGTCCTGTAAATGTGCTTGTGCTGGGGGACTTGGTCCTTTACAAGAAGGGAGGAGACATCCATAACATCTACCGGCACAGACAGCTTCGCCCACGGGAGCCTGCAGGAGCTTCCTGTGGGCACAGCAGGCAGGCGCCCGGCTGCTGAGCGGCGGCAGGAGAGGCGGCAAAGGCTGTGCTGGGGAGATGTGATACTAACACTGATTAATAAACACGTTGGAGCCCCTTCCCCCTCCTCCTTCAAGTTCGCTGGCATGTTTGATCAACACCCGGTTTGCTTCCTGGAAGTTTTTTATTTTGTTCTGAACAAGGACCCTAATTCTCCGGACCCTCTCTGTTGGGTATACAGTGTTCAGCTGGTCTGTGAAAACACAAACCCCACTCAAGTCTCCAGACTTGTTTACACAGAAAACTGAACCTGTGGCTGGCTTGGAGTCTGAAGCCCGTTCTGGGCATTGTTTATTGCAATCTGCCCAGGCCCTCCCCCTCCCCCAACCACCACGCACCCACCTTGAGACAAGGTCCTTTCTTTGGGTGAAAGGGGGCTTGACACGAGATTGGGTGACCGCAGTGGCAGGTCTCACTCACAGCCGAGTGTGTGCACATTTAATTCGATAAAGTGGCCTAATGGTTGGTAAAATAATTGGGGTCTCCAGCAAACAGGGAACTCAGCTGTGGTGGTTGTGCCACGGTTCTGCCTAGCCACGGGTCGCCCGGGCTGTGAGCTCGGTGTGTCTGGCGAGAACAAGCCACCGCCGGGCGGCAAGCCCCTCTCCACTCCTGCGTCTGATGTATTGGGTGTCTCCTCAGCCCTAATGAGCCTCACTTTGTACAGTGAATTTGCTGAGACATCAAAAAGTATTTAAAAGAAAGTTTCCTGCTTTTCCCTAATGAGCAAGGTGAGGATTTATGGTGTGTGGGGAGGGGATCTGGCTGTGAGGGCCAAGTCGGAGCAAGTCTATTTAACATGCTGTAGCTTAAGCTCCCTCCCGCATTCGGGGGTTCAGAGCGCTGAGGTGCGGGAGTATAGAAACATGCAGTTGGGGAGTGAAAAAACGCCATTTGGTTCGGAGCAGATGGCTGGCTAGGGGGCTGATGGCGTCTAAAGGCGTGTCATCCCCCTTCAGCCTGAATCCCTAAGGGCTCCCCTTGTCTTCCCAATCAATGAAAATTAAAGTGCAAAGAAAGGGTGAATAGTTGGACCTCGAGTCTCTCCTTTGTTCATCTCAGCTACTGGTGTGCAGGAGTTAAACTACAACAGGCTCCCATAGAAACACCGAAGTTAAACAGTCCCCTCAGCTCAGCCTCGAGAGGGAGAGGGGGCAGCCCACGTGGAGTGGGAGAGGGGGCAGGGGCAGGGGGAGGGAAGGAAGAAAGGAGAGGACGGGCGCGGGGGAAGGAGAAAGGCTGTTCTGCTTGATTTCCCCAACACAGAATCGCGTGGCATAAATTAAGCTGGAAAAGAATGAAGGCTTTGGGCAGGATTCTGATGGATTTTACGATGCCTTTCAGCTCCGCTTTGCCGCTGTAATCGAGAAATCTGTGCCATGTCAATTTAACAAATACTTGATACTGAGGGGGGTTTGTTAAAGATTTGGGGCAAGTCTTTTCCCCCCAAGGTTTAAGCCCTTGCGCGTGGAACTTTTTATTTCCAGTTTTCTAAACAGACATTCAAATGAGCCTGTTTCCCACTTCCATTTTCTAATTAAAAGGTTCCTGATATTTCATTTCTTACTGAATCGACTCCCAGTCTGAGCGGCACAGAGCATTTAGAGTTCACATTCCTCCCTCTCCTGTCCCGCTCCCCCATCTCCCTCCCTCTCTCTCCCCATCTCGCCCTCTCCCTCCCCCCCCAGTTTCCACGCTGCGGGGAGCAGAGTCCTCAGAAATTAGCTTTCAGAGGAAACATGGATGCGATATAAAAAGGATGCTGACACTAGGTGGCAAGATTAAATTAGGATTGGCCAGCTGGCGGGGTGGGGAGTCCCGGCCGCGCCGTGGGCCAGGCTGGGAGCGCGGCACCGTCCGGGCGCAGCAGCTTTTGAAGCTCCCGTTTGTTTGCAACCAAACAGTCGGGGGTCTGGGGGGGCCCAAGCCCGCCCTTCTCACCTCAGCCTTAGACGCTACTTCCGATTAATGTTTTGCTTCTCTGAGGGGGCAGCAGTGGGAAAACCGCGGTGTATGTGTGTGGGGGTCCCGAAACTTTGCCGGCATTCGGGAGCCACGGAACCAGGGCTCGGGTTACCCAGGAGGGACCGGCGTGGCCGCGGCCGGGTGGCTTTACGTGGCCGCGTGCGGTCGTTTCACTGTTTACTTGATGCTGTGTGATCTTGGGTCCGCCGCAATGAAAGCCCATTTTGCGGGGACGGTGCCGGCCCCGCGGGCAAGGCGGCGCAGCGCCTGCAGCGAGGCCGCCGGCTGCTGTCCGAGGGACCCCGGCTCCAACAGCTCAGCCCTCGGGCCTGACGGAGCCCTTCAGGAGGGCGTGCGGGGGAGGAGGCGGAGCAGTGGTGGGAGACCTCGGGGCGCGCCCGGCACGGAGCGGGGCGCCCGGCACGGAGCTGACGCCCGGAGCCCGCGAGCGCGAGCGCGGTTTAGGTAATTCATTGTGTGCTACGTGCGCTCCCGGCCTCCCCACAGACTCATTTCCCTTTTAAAAAATGAAAACAAAAGTTCTAGTGTCCGAGGGACGTGTAAAACCCTAATAAGGTGATGGCTGTGTGAAGGTCGGGGCGGGGGCCGGGCGGGGTCCCCGGAGCATGTGCCGGACTTTGTTGCAGAGGCCGCGGCGCGCGCGGAGGGGAGCTCGCCGCCCGCATTGTGCGCGGAGCAGGTGCGGTCTGCATTTCCATACAGCTGAGCGCACAAAGAGCCACTGATTCGGGCTCGCACAATAACAGGCTGCCGTAATGACAGCCACGCGAGCGACACACACCAAACTCACTTTCTACCGGCGGAGGGAGGCCGAGAGGGAAATGCCCCGGAGAGCGGCCGGGGACCGGGGGC